CTTATTTAGGGTTTAGGGTATTGGGGTCTTTGGGGTATTGGTGGTTAGAGCTTATTTAGGGTTTAGGGTTTCCCGACCATCCAACACCTCTCAGTAGGTGCTGCGTGCTTCCCTTTGAAAGTCCTTGGGATTGTTGCGGCGCGACGCAGCGCAGCTGAGGACCGTGAAGCACAACCTGAGATGAATAGAAGTTTCTGCATTACCTGAAACGGAAATGCTTACTACATTACAAGACCAGCCACAACAAAAAAAAAATATACACTGAACAATTTCAAAGCAACACAAAGCAGTCCTACTTTACCAATCTCCCTCTGCTGCGCAGGGTAGGGTGTTTCTTTAACATACCTGCCCCCTATGAAAAGCATACAGCTTGACCCCACATAGCCCTGTACACCCAAGCAGCCATGCAGTAGATTCAACCCTAAACCCTAAAACCTAAAACCTAAACCCTAAACCCTAAACCCTGTTGGGTAGGAAGGTTCTATCAAAGAAACATGTGGTTCTCAACAGTCCCTTAGCCACAGACCCCCCTTAACGCCACACACCCCAAGGCAAGGATTCTGAGCCTAAAGACCCCCAAAAGCCTAAAACCATGGACCTTTAAAACGAACCTTGGACCAACCCTAAACCCTAGACCTCCAACCCTAAACCCTAAACCCTAAACCCCCAACCCTAAACCCTACCGCATGAAAAGCCTTGTTCCTCAGAGCCCTAGGCCCAAACACCCAAGGCCAACTCCAAAAGCCCCGTGCAGGCCCAAATAATTTCGGGTGTCAGGGCTTAGGGTTTAGGGTGTAACGGCCTATGGGGGGGGGGGGGTTTAAGGGAGGGATGTTTAGAGTTTAAGGGTTGCTCAAAGGCTCAGGGGCGATTTAGTAAGTCAGGTTATAAGTTAAGTAAGGTTCGACTTAGGATATAACCCTACCTAGGGTACTCATAACCTACCAAGTCCCTTGAGTCCTTAAGTAGGGTTAAGGTGTTAGGGTCTCAGGGCTCAGAGGGAAGTGGTTTAGGGGGTTTGGGTTGCGGAGTTCAGGGGTGTTAGGGTTGAGGGGCGCAGCCCCGCTAAGGAGTCAGCAGAGTTCAGGGCTTGGGTTCTGTGGGATTTAGGGCTTAGGGCTTAGGGTCAGAGACTGACCGGATGTGGGCTTCGGGTGTAGGGTTTGAGGCTCTATATTGCATACGAAGGACTAACTACTCTAGACCTGAACCCTAAACCCTAAACCCTAAAACCCTAAACCCTAAAACCCTAAACCCTAAACCCTAAACCCTACTCTGGAACGTACCGTGCGAGTAGAGGTCGGCTTCTCCCTGGGCCACATAGCAGACTCGACTAGGTCGACTTGCAAATGACGCCCTTGCATCAAGGGACTGAAGGAGAGACCCTTAAAGGGACCCTTGGGGTTATATAGGGGCTTTATGAGACGATATAAGGGGTATATAAGGGTTTTTTAGGGTATTAGGATGAGGGGTCTCTTTTAGCGGTCCCTCCTATTGTCCCTTAATTGCAGACCCTAAAGATCAAGGGCAGGAGACCCTGTCAAACATCTGACGCCTCCCATGCTCTTGAAATGCTGCATGGCGAGGGGCAAAGTGGTGTAGATGAGCTCTGCACAGAAGCAGGAGCCGGCACCAAAGGGCTTGATCGGAGCGACTATCACCTCCGAGGAGTATGTAGGGCTTTAGGGTTTAAGGATTAAGGGTTTAAGGATCTTGGGTATACGATGTTTCGTAAGAGCTGTACAGCGTTTCTGTTGCGGACAAGTGCTTCAGATTCCGGCTTTACTGCTTCGGATATCGACGCTTTTTGGGCGAGGGGCGATGGGAACACTCACGGCCTGCGGGGGCTGGAGAGCTCTTGGGCTTAGAATTTGTTGAACTACCCAGAGAGCCCAACACCCCCTAATTAAGGGATATCTTTTAAATCATAGTATCAAGCCCCTATAATTTATAATTAAGGTATATTCCTTAATTAAGGGGTATTCGGCTCTTTGGGTCTGTTTACGCCGAAGATCACGGTAGCATCATACATATACATGTATACACAGACCTCAGCCTGTTGTTAACTTCAATCCAAAGATAGTTCCCTAGTGGCCGTGGTCTAGTGCACCCTAAAAGCTCCACGATCACCCCATGAACACCACCTTCACGGTTGCCTTGGTTAAATGCAAGCGCAACCGTTAAACCCTATAGACCCCAACTAAACCGTAAAGCCGTAAACCCTAAACCGTACAGCCATAACGCATGAAGCTGAAAACCCTAAACCGCAACGCATGAAGCTGAAAACCCTATACTTCTGCACCCGAGAAAACCCGAAGTCCCCCCATCACCCCTGCAGCGACGGTTTAGGCTTAGGTCTTATGAGCTTACGGCTTATAGGGTTTAGGGTTGAGGGCTTTGGTAATACAAGTCAGAACCAGCGGACTTAGTAAGTTATACGTATAAGTGCCCTAAATAGGGTCATCCTAACTACTACAGTACTTATAACCTGACTTACTAAGTCCCGTGAGCCTTCAAGTACAGTCAGAGCCTAAGCCCGAAACCTTAAAGGTACACATAATAATAATGATACTAATAATAATAGTAATAGTATTAAAAAAATAAAAAAAAGTTGTAATAATAATAATAAATACTAATAATTGTAATCATAGTAATATATGTATGAGACTACGAGCGGCCAGCCAGACCTTTAGCGTGAAAGAACCCGACGACCCATAATGCCCAGAGAGCCCAATACCCCTTAATTAAGGGATATACCTTAAACCACCATATTAAGCCCCTTAAACCATAAACCCTAAAACCCTAAACCCCTAACCCCTAAACCCACTTTAAATCATAATAGATAGCCCCTTATAATTCAAGGTCTATTCCCTAACTGAGGGGTATTGGGCTCTCTGGGAAGAAGAGCCGCAAGACTTGGGCCTTGGCGTGCATCATACTCTACTGAAAAAGGGGGGCTGGATGTGTGTGTGTGTGTCTTTCTCTCTAGAGTATATGCAGATAAACATAAATATTAATATATATATATATATAGATAGATAGATAGATAGATAGATAGATAGATAAACGAATAAATATATATCTACATATATATATATGTATATGTATATGTATGTTATGTATATATATATACACATGTGTATATATATATTTATATTATATTATATTATATTATATTATATTATATTATATTATGTTATCTTATCTTATATTATATTATATTATATTATATTATATTTTATTATATTATATTTTATTATATTATATTATATTATGTTATATATAATATATAACACATATAACATATATATAACATATATATGATGTATATATGTATAATATTTTATATACAATATACGATATGTAATATATAATATATGATATATAATATATATAATACGTAAAAATAATTGATATATAAATTATACAATGTAAAATATATATATTGTATATAAAATATATAATATAATATATATATATATAATTTATAATATATACAATATATAATATATTGTATATGAAATATAATATATAATATAATATAATACAATATAATATCATATAGTATAATATAATGTAATATAATATAAAATAATATAATATAGTATAATATAATAAAATATAACTATAACATAATAATATATATATATAATATATTTGCATATACATCCCAGTACCTGCAATTTGAACCCTAGGGCTTACACGCGGTTTACACGGTTTAGGGCTTGGGGTTTACACTACATGGCTTAACGACCGAACCCAGAAGCTGAACCCTCCAACAAGCTTTGTTTACTTGATTGTCAAGTGCTTTTTTGGTGCGGATCACAAAACAACAAACCTGTTAACCTTACAGCTCTTCACCCTGAAGCCTTAAAGTCCTTTTTGCAGCCAGGCCTCATGTGGCCTGAAGTCCTAAAGCCCTAAACCTACAGCACGGAAGCATACTGAAGCTGTAAAACCCTAAACCCATTTCCTCGAACGACACTGTTTTTCGAAACAACGTAGGTTTCCGTATCCTTTGCACCCTAAACCCTTAACCCCATTACGGTTTCAGGGTTCACCCTTCGAACAGTAGGATTATGGTTTAAGGAACAAGAAACAAAAGCATTACACTATAGTTTACTACTTGATCTCGTGCTGTTTTAGTAGCAGAAACCTCCCTACTATGTCTACGTCCTGAAGCATGAAATTCACTCAGGAGCTGCTAACCTTTTCGTGGCCTAAATTATGTCTTGCTTTCGTTTTCTTTCCCAATACATATGCCAGTCCCTTTAATTAAACCCTAGGACTTACACGTTTTAGGGTTTGGAGTTTTATGTGGTTCAGGTCTTAGGGTTTACACGGGTTATATAACCACCGAACCCAACACCTAAACCCTCCAGAATGCCTTGGTTACCTTACTGTAAGGTGCCTTTTTCGGTGCAGAACACTCACTTTATAGCAAACTTGTGAACCTTACAGCTCTTAGCCCTAAAGCCTTTAGAACCCTAAAGCACTGAAGCCTTAACACCTCTTCCTCTAAATGCTGAACCTATTTCCTCAAAACCCACTGTTTTTCGAAACAACAAAGGTTTCAGTACCCTTTTACACCCGAAACATCTGCTTCTCGAACATGCGTTCAGTAGATCCTTGATGGGGGTAGCATATATGTCTGTGTGTATGTATGTATATATATATACATACATACACACATATATCTATATATATATGTGTGTGTGTACGCACAATTGGCAAACGACGCACCGACAACGCTGCCTCACCAACCAAAAGTCTCTCTGCCGGTACAGCCCGCCCTCTTCGTACTATGGTATATTCTGGTTGCACATTTGCCGGAACTACTGTAAAGAGTTCAAAGGTAAGCGCCCATCTCCATGGCTCAGAGACACACGGGTGAATGTGAAGCAAGATGCTTTTCTGACACTTAAGCTTCAAATCACAAATGACGTTCAATTATGCACGATGCACATTTGACATGTCCATGTGATGCAGTCGAAAAGCTCCTGCTGCGACGCGGCAAACTGTGCAAGTCGCAGCCAAGAGACCTTTCGGAGGCGCCAGGGTCTAATATTTGCCGATAACTCACGACCGGCCTGAAAGCTGGCTGCCAGGCAAGACACGCCATGGAGGAAAAGCCTCATGAAGCTCTAGCATGCACCGACAACACGACACCACGACTGTTGTGCGGACCCCCTTACCTCATCTGAATGCTGGAAGGGGGCTGCTGAGTTTGCCAGGTCTCTAGGTCCTCGCTGTGAGGCCTCACAAGTTCTATCACGAGAGGAAACTCGTCCGTTCGCAGGCCGAGGCCGGTGCTTCTGCAGCAGTCGATCAAGCTCGTGCCTGGACGTCCCGACGACTCGAGCTGTGCCCACAGAGGCTCTGACAAACCGCACTTAGGGGAGGTTTCGCGGTGTCAGACCACGTACCCCACATACCGATGGTCACCCAATGTCACCCAGTACACTCGCCTGTAGTAGGCGGCGAAGAGCGGCAGCAATGCCAGGCACAGGTATCCCAACTGAGTCGCTCGAGTGGCTTCACAGAATGCTGACACTCTAGCACGCGAACAAAGACAACTGGGAAAAGCATCGGGCAGGACAGCAGCTTAGTAGCCGAATTCCAGCCAAGGCTGGGACGGATTGCCCGGAACCAGCGGCTGCGCCAGCGAGAAGGCTCAGGCCCACCTCCTGACTGTAGATGGGTCTCTTTTGCACTCAAGGCTTTGGGTTCCCAGATGTTCCCAGGTGTCCGTGGCCACGAAGCGAGCCAGCCACGGTGCCCCCCAGCACCGCAGGTGGACCTGCCAAACTTCAAATGTGTGCGGTCCTGAATCAACATTAACAGCAACAGACCAGCAATCGCCCCAACGGCAGATTCGGCCCGAGACCTCCTCCTCGCTGTACCAGCCTGCGCAGTCTAGCCGTGCACTGCCCCACGCGCCTCCTGTCCCTAAGCGCTGATATCCGTCATAAAGCATCTGGACCGAACGACAAGGAACCTAAACATTCTCATGGCCAACTTTGCACTGTGATTTTGCCTGCAGTCCACGGCATCCTCCACCTGAGCGAGAGAGAGGCTGCGGAGTCTTGCTGCACATTCACCGGGCAGCATGAACAGAAGAATCCGCAGTTTAAAGGATTACCTTTCGTCTCCACCGCCGTCTAGCTTCTGCTAGTCCCATGACTTTGCCATCCCCAAACACCTAAGTGAGCCGGCAGAGATCGGCACGCGGCGAGATACTCCATGGCTCGCGCACTTGCGGCAAGGCCAAGGCGGGATAACCAATGCCGGGCCTACTGGGTGCTATCATGCGCTACATCCACATTCATTCCGCTCTCGTGCTTGACGCCTGTTGCCCTGTTGTGGACGCACTCGAACTGTTTGCATATGTGTGGGAGAACTTTCCTGTCGAGAGCCACGCAGCCAGAAAACACGAAGCTCTCGACAATTCACAAAACTTGCAAAGAGGAACCCTGCACGAGATTGGTCAGTGATCATGAGACTCAATAGACTGCTGCCCATCCTGTTCACTCTTTGCGGAGCCTGGTAGAGCTCATCACCGTTTCCTTGGCCGCCGGCAACCACCAGCCCATGCTGCCAGCCTGCAAGACATTGGCGTGTTTCCCAATCAATCAAGACCGCATGCAAGTGTTCAACTTTCCGGCAACATAACTTCACAAACACGCATGGTCAGAGTGGTGCGGGACCGTGATGGGCACGTTGGTCAAGTGATGCCTGCGAGAACAATCTGGCCTTCTCGCCATTTCATGATGCGGTGGTTCTGGTAATCTGCTATGTAGATGGTGGAATCCTGCCAGATGCAAAACGAAAACATGAGAAGTCTTCAACTGGTCACGTCCCGTACCGTAAACAAAATCTCAGGCTTTGTTTGCTGGTCCTCTGTGATATGGAGGCCCACAGGATGCTGCAGCTGATCCAGGCCTCCGGGACTGCTGCCCACAAATATGAAGCTCGACATCCATCGAAAGTTCGCTCTGCCATCGAAGGAAATCTGCATGGATAGACTGTGAAGAAATGCTTATAGCTGCATTTAGGTAAATGTCAACACTCTGTGGCATCACGCCAAACGACAACAAACCATTCTGCCGTGCTCATGCAGCCGCATTTGAGAGCCACGCGTGAGCCCTTGCCATTGCCACCAGCCACCGTCACACCCTCCGTAGCTCCAGGAGTCCACCTGTTGCTGCCAAACAAATGAGACAATGGCCACCCAACATCATCCTGTGATTCCAAGTTCCAAGCCATGCTGGACTACACACCGGAACTTTCATGATTTGTGCACGTGGGTCTGTTGAAGTCAACGAAAACTGTCCGAATCTCTGAACTTAGCGTCTCTCCAAGAAAATATTATACAGACCGGGTTTCCAACTTTTGGATGCGGTTGTTGCCGCTGTCGGACACATACAGCACTCCTGCCGAAAAAATTGAAGTTTGAGTCCAATCTCTGTCAGTTGCAGCAGTGACTACAGACTGTAATGTCCTTCGCGCGTGACGAAGATGTCTTCGGCATCCTGGCATGAAGTGGCAATCAAGCAGCATGCCCATCCCATGATCTCATTGTCACTAGTCGCGGCCTCCAGCTGCGAAGCTTCGCTGCCGCTCTCCGGGCGGCCGGCCACAGACGTGGTTTGGCCATCAAAGTACCTGCGCTGCAGTCAAACATGCACCGGTGGCCAGGTGTAAGGCACAAAGTGCTGCAGTCGGGAGCTAAGAAACGGAACGACGTTTTGGCGGGAAGCTAAACAAGTTGCAAGACCGTGGACGACAATTCAACGCAGCAGACATGAACCACGGCGATGTCACTGACTCCCGTCCGGATTCACTTTTTAGTCGCCATCGAGGTCAGCCAACAATCGGACGGAGTCGTCGCATGCATTTTGTTAGTCTTAGAATCGAAGGTCCGATCCATGGAGAGAAAGGCAGATGTCAGTTTCCATAAAAAGCAAAATGACGGCACATAAATCGCAAAATAAAGGTGAAGCTGCAAGGTAAAAAAGTAAAACACAGTTAAAACAAGGTGAAATACAGCTGCAACCAGGTGAAACAAAAGGTGACGAAAGGGTCAAAAAAAATTGGAAAAGGGTGAAAACCACGCACAGGCCACGTGACTCGAACTTTCCTGCGCCGGGGCAGGCGGGCGGTCTGGTGGGCGGGCGATCGTCCCTACGATTTTCCGTTGTAAAAGAAGTGCAGGAAAGGTAAAAAAATCGCGCAGGCCAGGTGATCCGGATTTCCCACACACCTGTCCTTGGTTTGGACTTTAGCTTGTTCTCCACTTTTGTTTGCCTTGTTTACACCTTTGTTTTGCCTTTTTTTGCTTGTTTTGACCGTAGGGACGATCGCCCGCCCTCCTGCCCCGGCGGGTGGGCGAGCGTGGGACCATGTCAAGCGCACAGTCCAAACTTCCTGAGCACAGCCTGGGATGAAACGGTAATAGTGGGCGATTTGCTCGTTTCTGACAGGTTCGCACCTCGGCGATTTGTCCAAGCTCCAAACGATCAAATGCTTGCGTGCCAAGACTCTCCGGTGAAAGGTTTGCGGTGCTTGGCAGCTCGGCTCACTGATTCAGTATGGATTTTGATTCAGATCGCATGGCCGACAGGCTGGGGTTCAAAACCCCTGCGCACCGCTGCACACGCGAGCCGTTCTCGTCAATGAAATAAATGGAGCCATCTGCACCTACACAGGCATTGCTCGCGTGTTCGGCCAAGTCGATTGATCTTCGCGAGCTCCACTATGCTCCACGCATCTCAACTCTGCCATGCTCTACACAAAGATGCGAGCCTATGTACAGGGCGCGCGTCCCGACGTCGAGGCAGAGCTTCCTCAGTGACGACGTGGGAAACGACGAACTCTTCAAGGCAGATTGAGATGCTACCTGCTGCCTTATTGTATCGCTCGTCACCCATCTCATGTACGCAGCTTCGGCTAAGCACGTAGGCACGCGGCCCGGCGCCAACCACCTCGCCCACTCCGTCACGGATCCTGTCTGTGACACAGAGGAAACCCTCGAAGCTGCGATTCACAACTGAACACACGACCAACTACGGTAACTACGGGATGCTGCGGGACATCTACATGACCAATGGTGTTTACATGTCATTTTCTTGCCTTTAGAAGCTTTTGGAGTCAATATGCTTCTCCGTTGTGCAATCCCTTCTGAGCTGAGCCTCAGGTCATGCCAACTGTGTATATCCACTTCAACCGCATGACATAAGGCTCGACAACAAGTACTAAATGACAGACTTCTGATTCTCCTACATGCTGGTGTTGCTGGTCGGCTATCGGGCCTGCGATTTTGAGGTATTGGGTTTTTCTCATTTTTGCCATTATTCGAAGCTGCGGACACTCAAGCCACTGGCGAAAGGCTGGTTTGCCTTTCTGCCTTCGGTCCATCCTCATAAACTCGATCCAACAACTCCAGCATGCGGCGCGCAAGAGGACGAGGGACATCACAAGCCAGATCTGCGCCAACTCGCGCATTAGCTTCCATGATGAGCATCTGCTCATCTGTTCGTCTGACCTTGTAGTTGAAATTCACGAAACCAGAGTATCCCTGAACAAGCTTCTCCATGACCTTAAGCTCTGACTCAGTCGGTTCGACCAGTTCCTTTTCCAACTCGGTCACTTGAGGCCAAACATACTCCTCAGCATCATACCGGTAGCGAATGCAAGCCTTTTCCAGAATCTTCCCGTTCAGAACAAGCAATGATGTTGAAAATTCATGGCATCCGACAACCAGCTCTTGCAGGAGCCACCGACCCGTCAACTCACCAGAGTCTGTGCCTGTGATCCGGCGCACGGACTCGGCAGAGTAGACTATTTGTACTCCCGCACCGAACTCTCCTGCTGCAGGCTTCAAGATGCATGGATAGGACGCTCTCTCCGGCAACCGGAATCGCTTCGGAAAGTAGGATGACAGACCAGCGCCTTCTGCGAGTGCCTGAAGCTCAACTTTGTCGTCCAGGCGTCGCACAACATCGGGATCACAGGATAAGATCCGCCATCCTGCTTCTTTCAGGGCTTCCTGCTGTCGGGCAATCTCGACAGCCATGTTGTCCGAGGCAGGCAAAAGCCACGAAGATGATGTAGGAGGTTCAGGAGGATCCCCTCCCTGCCAATCCAAGGTGTTGCTCGCTCCGCATCCCATCCGCCGAACATCCCGGTGCCAGTAGACACGGGGCGTGAGACAAAAGCGATCCTCCTGCTCCTCTCCTCGCTCGGCCATCTCCTGCCTTATGGCAGCTTCTGCCTGATCTCCACTCAACTCACAGGCGCGGAGCACTGACTGGTAGTCCTCCTGGCTGGGCTCGTTGGCTTGCTTGTCCTCCGACCATATGTCTTCTAGCAGTTGAAGCGCCGGTGCAGAGGCTCCAGCTTCGCCGCAGAGCCTCAGGGCCTGGCTGCGTTCGGCGCGGCAGTCCTCACCATGTCGCTTCATCTCCTCAACCCGCTCGACGGCTTCTTGCCATCCAGCGCCTTCGGCAATGGAGCTGTAGGAAATGCCGTGCTCTTCCAAAGGGCCAGCTTCCACTAAGTCCCAGGAAACCATGGGTCCAGGGTGACCCGATGGACCAGGAAGAAGCCTTAGCAAGAAGATGTCTCCTCTTCGACCGTTTAAACACCAGTTCCTCCCATGACCATCGGAGTCCGGTCCGAGAACTTCCTTGCCAGGGCTGCCTGGGCCTGGGTACAGTACCCGAGACCAGTCCCGGTCACATACAATTTGAAACTGGCCACCGGCGTGCGGGAGCTTGACTTCCAGCACGAACTCTTCACATTTCTCGCTGCCCTCGCTCCTTTGCAGGGGCTCAAAGTCCCAGTCGCTCCAGTCTCCTACCACCAAGAACTCAGAAATCGCGGAGACTTCGGCGACTGGCTCCTCGATCTGCCGGAGCGCCCCAGCAGTCGCAGCCTCACCCGTCTCGTCTGACGCCGCATTCTTCATTAACCAGGAAAATCGTAAGCTTCGACCATACTTTCCATGGTCCAGCTCCAGCAAGAAGTCACGCAGCGACAGCGACGGTTTGGTCGTGGAGCCGCGGTCTGTCGACTTTGCTTGTGTCACACTGACTTTGCAGTGCATGTTTGCGGCTCTATGCCGACATGCCGCTTTTCGATCGCGCAGAGTCAGGACGCCAGAAACGCAGGCCACTCCCCAAACAGGCCCGTAAGTTTTACGAGGCCATGTCCAAGGCTTCCAACATACGGGAAATTCAGCACAAGGTGCACGGCAAGCACAAGAAACTTGACCTTGCAACGGTACCAGCGCCATGGCCAATGAGGACGACCCTTCTGTGGCGATCGGAAAAGGTGGCGATCGAAGGAAAGGACTCTGCAGTGTTTGCGAGTGTACGGCCGGCAGGGACGGCCGCTGGGGCTTTGACAGGGCCCGGGCCTCACGATGCGTCCGTGCTGACCATCCAAGACCTCAGAGTCCACCAGCGCTCCCAACACCTTAGGACCTTGGCCTTGGACCCTGAGCCCTGATGGGCTGCGAGCATAAAGATCCCCTGCTGCATCAATGGCGATGTCAATGATGTCCTGAGACCCAAGTTGACAGAGCACGCGGTGACTTCATTATCGACAGCCCAGCATGTCTGTTAGCATGTTTCCAAGTTGTCTCTCCGAGTGAAGACACACACACACACAAGAACATTTCAGGCACAGGCAGAGAAATCGTTGACACCGTTCAGCCTTAGACCAGCTGTCTCGCGAAGAATCTAAACCACACAGCAGGATCTGTTGATGGCTGTGTCGGTGCGCTCGAATGCTTCCACAACGTCAGTTTTGGCTAAGCGCTGCACGGCAGACAGTCAGACTTTTGCTCTGTCAGAAGCCGCTCCAGCCCATCACACTTCGTTAGCAAGTCTACAGAATATCGATTGAGCATTATCATCTTCGGGCGGGGGAGAGCGACAAGCGGCGTTAAAGATCCTTGCCAACGGCTGCTTGCAACAGCCTTTTCAAGCAGGCCATCTCACTGAGGACCGTTCGAAGCAAGTGGCAAGAGGAGTTTAGCTGATCACAGTCGCGCTGGTCAGTGTGGAGCCCAGACGATGATCACGATGAGAGCCGCTGCAGGCCACAAGTCAATCCAATCACATAGTTTAGCATGCAAGAATAAATGCCACTTTCCCCACTGAACAGACCAGCATCCCACAGCTGAATTTCTGTTGCAAGAGCCGGCGGGAGAGGGAGGAGTCACATGTACAGCTCCCTCTGTGTGAGTTGCAAGGAGTCCACCGTCACTTTCATCTGCGCCTGAGTTGCTTTGCCTCAGAGAACCGATTCGCAGATAGTTTTGATATTACTTGGAGACTGCATCTAACATTCCATACTTGCGCTGTTCAGATCGACAAGCCAGCACTTGTAGATTCCAGGCATCTCTTGATCGCTCTTGTAGATGCTGGGGCTCGGGCTGATCCAATTGCTCGCCAAATTCAACCTGAGCACATGACATGTTGCGCCTGCTCGTGAGGTTCACGTTCAGCACTGCAGCTCTAACTGAGCGGTGGCTACTCAAGTAGGGGAGCTTGTTGAGGAGCATATTAATCGCCAGTGCGCTTGTTCGAGTTCAAGGCATGCAGGAAATGCACGAGTTACGCGGGCAGCGGCACCATTCTGTGGGGAGCATGGACGCCGTGGTTTTTCCCCTGACATGTTGCTGGGAAGCGCCTTTACCTTGCACCTGACCTTTCTGACGCCTGCTCGGTTTATCTTCTTCTAGCTGGCGCTACTAGTAGAAGTCTTTACCGATTCAAACTAATGAAGGACAGCTCCTGCAACGTTGTGAAGAGCTCCGGTTCAGTGCAGTCAGAAATCGAAATCGCACCACACGCTTCAGAACAGGTCGCCTGAGCTGTTGCAGGCTTTGAAGATTTTGAAGACGTGACGTCGCTGCAGCAAGGGCGAGGGCACCCCTTCCACCTGCGTATGGTGCCACGGAGACGGACAGACAGACAGACAGACAGACAGACAGACGGACAGACGGACGGACAGACGGACAGACGGACAGACGGACAGACGGACAGACGGACAGACGGACAGACGGACAGACCAGACAAGAAAACAAAACTGAGCCAAGCACAAGACCCGCTAGTCTGCTAGTCATTCGGCTCCCAGCAGACCCGCGCTGCCCCTGTAGCTCGCCCCAACACATCTTAGAAACCCGGGCGGCACACCGATGTTGTTCTCGAGAAGCTCAAACTCCAACTTCTCCAAGTGAATGAGTTCACCTTCACACGGCCAAGCTTCGCAGGCTTCGAAGACCAGCGGATTCCCGACAGACCCTCAGCTTGCTCATTCAAGCCAAGCCGCCCAAGGTGTTTGCAAAGGCAGACACTCCGTCATCACCTTACTTGCCAGCACATCTGTAACGAGCCTGCTTGGTATGCCACCGAACATGGAAGGAACATGGCATCGTATGCTCAGCACCTCTATCGGGGCGAGAGGGGCGGATGTAGGTGTAGCTGTGCTACCATTTGCTGCCCATAAGCCCTGAACGTCAACGAATAATACCCGATGCCTCCTGTCTGCTCACAGGTTTTTGGCAGCTAGCTAGTGATAGCTAGTGCAGGCTGATCTCATGAGCTTGGGCTTTCCACCTGCATTACCTGCGTTGCAAACGAAGCACCCAAGCTGTTCTCCCACAGGTTCAGCTATAACCTCATTTTCGACGATCACAGCCATGGCTCGCAAAAAAAACAGCCATTAACCTCACCTTCGGAGTGTCTTGAGCTGCGCCAGCGCAGTAGCCAGTACTTCGGCACCTTTTTTGCCTGCACGAATGCAACATTTGGGACTTCCAGGTCATGTACTTCCATGGTATTGGCTGAGCCGGTTGCTGATGCTGTTGCCACCCAAGTTCCTCAGTCGCACTTGCATGGGCACCTCCTTTTGACTCTGAGATCTCACAAGTAATCCAGGGGCCCCGTTTGTAACTAGAGCGGACAACAACAAACGTTCAAACTATCCCGACTGACTGCATAATTATACGAAGTGCTCCAAGACCACTGACCGCGGTGGAGGAGACAGAGAGACAGAGAGACAGAGAGAGAGCCAGGTGGCTACACGCTGAAGGAGGGTAATCAACACCCGCCAAATGCCCCCCTGGCTTTGTGTCCGAGCGTCAACTCCAGCTCTTCCAGGCTCCGAGTCGCTTGCAGCGCCTCGGCCAGCTTCGAGGCACCGGCATCGCCTCAGCAGATGTTCTAAGTCGCCAAGTATATAGAAGTGTCCCAAAACAACAGGCCAACACCATATGGCCTCGGTAGCCTCCGCCTGCCGCCTCCACATGGCTGAGACCCTGACCGAGACGTCTGCTTTGCAGATCCAACTTCAAGCTTCTGGCATTCGCAAGCTCCTCCAGAGAAGAACTGCTGCGGCACATGATGGTCACACGTGACAGCTCGGCTCGGACTCGGCTCCTGCAATGCCAGTTCCATGGAGCCTGGATCTCCTTATCACGTGCAAGACCACTCGCTCTCTCCCACAAGGGACGGTCCCTAGCAGAGAGCAGCGAGGTTCTCCGAATGCACCAAGCAGGATCGGATAGTCTCACCGAGTGTCGCCTGATCAAGGCATCGCGCAGGACGGCCGCCGCCTGAGTTCACAGATCTGTGCCCAGCGGCTCGGTTGCCTACGGATTCGCAGAAAGGTGCAAAAAGATCCCAAAAGCATGCAATCCCCTGACACTGCCTTCTCGCCCCGGTCATTCCAAAGCGGATTGTAAACCATTCCGCCTGCACATCGAGGACTTCGACAGGTAGCTAAAACCCTCACCACCCATTACCCATCCGCGCCTTCGTTCTCAAGCCTTTCACGGGATCCACAGCATCTTTGGCCCATGGCTGCGGGCAAGTGGGACCCTGGAGTGAATACACTAGCACTTGTCATCCACGGATGTACCCGGCAACATTCACTGCTGGATGGTGGCCGTATGTGGCCCTTCTTGCAAGAGTTCAGAGATTGAGAAAAGATGGCCGCAGCAGTTAGAATTGACAGCAAGAAGGCAAAGACAGTCGTACATTCTCAGGCTGCAGCGTGCTGCCGCTGCCCACGACAACGTGGCCACAGTTGCATCCCAGAGGCCACTGGCAAACAAGATAGCTAAGTTTGATGTAAGAGATGAACATACACCTAAGCAGTACTATCGGCTGTTGGGCACACAAACAAACAGCAGGCTCGCCTTGAAGCTGTCATGCTTTTTTCTGTCTCGCCCGCAAGGGTTCGGCGAGACCGTCGAGATGAATTGCCATCATGATACGAGTAGCTCCAAAGGAGGCCATGTCATGATAAGTGTTCGTCGCAGTCTTCCAGAAGTTCTCTTTCCACCTCCTCCAAGCTGCGACCACAGGTTTCTGGCACCGTGTGGTACACGACCAGAGACCCAGCAGCGTTCACCACGGCGAACACCGTGAAGACCGGCGTGAGGCCGGCCAGGGCCAGGGCCATGGGGAACACCTAAAAGCACGTCGTCGGCAACTTCTACAACGACACGACACAAAATGGCATTACCTCTTAGGCCCTGTTGGGCTGTTAGGAGTCCTCTTCCGGGACTGTGCACTGGAAGTCTCTTCAGGAGAGAAGGCCTGCATCTCCAATGCCTTGACGGCGTAGTTGAAGACGTGAGAGAGTGCCAGGCCGTGCTGCCGGAGTCGCTGCGGGTAAAGCCTGCAGCCGACAGTGTGCTGTATGGTGCTGAGTGTATACCGCTCCCTGACTGACTCCGCAAAGCCCTCCTCTTCAATTGTGAAATGTCTCAGCAGAATACCAATCCAATCCAAAGCTTTCTGCAAGAAATTGCCTCGACCCGCAACCCCAAGCAATTTCTGCCAAAGTTCTCAGTGGTGAGTTGGAAAGATGTTGGTGCCCAACAAAGCTCAAAGATTGCCGCAGAGGCTGCTAAGGAGGTGAAAGACCTTGGCTCCGGTGGAGGGTGTTCTGCAGTATTCACAGCGGAGTATGTGACAGGCCCTGCCGCCTACACCCTTCGCGTCAGCTTTACAACTCTGACCGACAGGAACCCGACACAAGCACATACGCCACATTCCAACATCCACAATCCTTCTCATTCGATCTTCGCCGTGGTGCAGGGTCATGAGGCCTGTTGATGCATGACTGCCTGGCAACGGCTGTACAGGCAGCTGTACAACTGCTGTACCAGTACGTTGGTGTTGTCACCGCTGCAGGAGGCGCATCACGGGAGCTACGAAGTATCTTCGCATGACAGGTCGGTAGCAAGGGTCTATTGGTCTCAACAAGCAACAGCACATAGCAGCTGTCGCTTCGCCTGAGAAACCCCAAGAAATAGCTTGTCGCTGATCGGTGTAACTTAGCGGGACTTAGCGCAGATGCTTGCATTTCAATCTGCTTCACACTGCACGGAGCTTGCTTTCTGTTGCACAGGCTGGCCTAAGATGTGCGAGAGGAGCAGTGTTGACATGGAGACTGAAGACCCCAGGCATCCCAGCAGCAGGCTGCCTGGCAGAAACAGCTCCGTCTCACAGCGAGAATTGCAGAGGCAAGCGGCATGCGCTTTACTTGCGTGCCTCTGCGGCCAAGGCGGTCCATCAAGACAATACCTTGGGCAGCACAGAGAAGATCCGCCGAGGCCGGAGGTTCCAGGCGTTTAGATCCGGGGGTTCGGGGAGTTTGGGTGGTTATAATAGAGTAGTAATAACCCACCCCATACCCCCTCCCGGGAGGGGGGAGGGGGGGGAGACGGGGTGGAGGGGGGGGAGCCGGGGGGAGGGGGTGGGGGGGGGGCTTCGCTCCCAGCCTCGACCACCGTTACCGCGTTAGCGACAAAAAATTACAACAAACTGTGTTTGGAGCACATGGCCAGCCAGGTCGGCTACAAGTTCCCCCAGCCAGCTTACGGTTCTGCTTGACACTATATCTGGGCCAAAACCAGTGATTTTGCTTGCTCGAGGTGCCCATCGGCGTTGCAACTGATCGGACCTCAGAACAGAACAAAGGTTGATGTACGGGTGAAACTGAAACAGATGTTGTTTGCAGGCAAGGGAACGGTCATCAGTACCACACCCAGCGTGGTGAGATGATTCTGGAAACCCATGGCCGCCATCACAGGCGCCAAATAAGTTGTCAAGCAAACAGTCCCATTTGCCTGCTTGAAACATGTCAGGAGAGCATTGATCTCTGTCGCAGGATGTTGAAAGAGCTCGCGTACATTTAAGGGTACGGGTTCCTCTTTGTCTCCCCTCATTCCTTGACAGATTATGTCAAGCTCCTTCTGTAGCTCCAGCTGTCTTTCATTGGGATCAATGCAGGGTCGCAGCGTCTGCAAGGATTCCAAGGCCAGTGACCGACGCTCTGCGCTTGCAGCATCGGAACCATGTACCAGCCATCGCGGAGAGTGTGGAAGCGATGCCATGCCGATCCCTGCGATGACGGAAGGAACTGCAACAGCACCGAACATTAGCTGCCATGCTCCTGCGATGGGCTGCAACACCGCACCAGCAGCTACGCCGGCGCAGGAGCCCAGTGCAAAGGCCGCCCAGCGGCTTCCATTAGAAGGCCCCCGAAGCTCTGCCTCGACCGTCTCCACAACATATGCCGCCTTCGCGGGAGACGACAGCCCTTCTGTAAGCCCAGACAGGAAACGAAGTGCCAGCAGCGTGTTTCGATCGGCGACGAAAAAGGTGCCGAGCGAGATCGCCGTGAGACCCACGGCAGTCCAAACAAGAATGTCTCGTGAAGAAGGCTCCTTCGAAGTGCAAAGCAGAAGCATAGAGCCACAGAGGGCTCCGCAGACTCGTGAGCTCACCACTGCACCGATGTCCCATGCAGACAAGGGCATCAACAGACCCCCTACGAGCGTTGGATCTGTAAGTTGCAGGACTGCAAACGAAGTCACGCCACCATCAAAGCCAGAAGCGAAGTTGAAGAGCGATGGGAATAACACGTGCGGCGATGTTGCCAAATGGATTTGGGTTTCGAGCTCGGCGACTAGGCGAGTCGGCAAACCCTGGGGAAAGCAGAATGCCAGGCTTCTGGGAACCTCTCTCGGAAGTATCGGCCTCACACGAACAGGTTCAGCTTGCGCATGAGCTACTGCCTCGTCCTTCGGATTGTCAATGACACATCGAAGAGATTCAGACAGCTCGAGGACGGAGCCCTTGAGCGATGAATACAGGCCGGAGAGGAGGTCAGCCGCCACAAGATCTCCCTGAAAGAAACTATTCCCGCATGAGCGCACGTTGGACAGGACCTTGCGACGTCTCCTGCGCTGAGGTCTCTGTGTCATGGCTTCGACAGGTCATTGTCTCTTATCACCATCCTGTCAGCCTGAGCCATGAATCTTGCAGCATGTGCTTCCAGGCTTAATGGAAGTTGATCCTCAAGACTGAATGCTACATCCGCGGCACCACAACCAGACACACCATGCTCAACCAGTGATCCAACTCACCTGAAGCTTGAGCATTGAGCAAACTTCAAGCATCTGCTCTCGTCTAGCTCCTCCTCATTCTGACTGACCCCCGATGGCAAAATTGCCCTCAAGCCCTTGTTGTGCCGGAGGTTGCTAGATGTCCCAGTGGTCAACAGGTTTAACAGCATCGGATCCTGAACTTGCCCGATACTCACTGCTGTGCCTGCAGCACGCAGCATGGCTCCCGGCCTAAGAATCTCGCAGGAGGGTTCTGTCGTAAAACAAGCTTGCTACTGAAATCGAAAATCGAAGGGTTGTCTGTCTGAGGCTGATGCCATCAATGATGTAAAGAGACTGGTCATGAATGTGCACGGCCCAGGGCTCCAACTCGCCCTTCAGAGGCGCAAAAATCTTCTTCGCCGAGAACATGCATTCTGACACGATCACCGCAACACCTCCGTCTCGATGCCGCTTCGCTCCGCTACGACACCGCCACCACGGAGGGAACAGCCGAAGTCCGCCCACCTGTTGCATGCCATGTCAGCTTCAAGCGTAGCTTGGCCGAGGACTGCTCAGAGTCGAGCCAGTAAGGGTATGCATTGCGAAGCTTCACGGTTTTCATGAAGGACGCCTGCACACAGCGACGCTTCATGTCACAGGTCGCTTCCCTCACATCAATCCTGCTCATCGTGGCTGTCTGGTCTGTCCCAGCGTTGGCAGTCGCCTTGAAAGACAGAAAAACATGGAAGTAAAGGTCCGCTTGTTGAATCTTCGTAAAGGCTTCTCATGAAGAGACCTGACCCGTAGGCTCTAGCACATCCTGTACTTATGGTCCCGAAATCAAAAGCTTCATGAGCTTCGGTCAAAGTCCACACGACTGGAGGGCCTGACAGGCTATGACGCTGGCATCATGTGTTTGCTGCTGCCTTTCTTTCGTGCTGCAAAGACACGAATCGACAAATTGGGGAACTTTCAGAGGTGTACGAACATTGTTCAGAACAGAACTAGGACGACCCACTAGGGGTTCGCACTGCACGCAAGGACTCCCAACAGCTGAGCCTGAAGGGCCTGCTCCTACACATGGCTTTCATTATTCAGGCTCAGGCTCTGTGGGCAGCCTTGGTGCACCTTCAATGCAGCCGCTGCGAGGCGGGACATAACCTTAGAAACTGGAGTTCTCTGGGCAACTTCCAAGAATGTGAGGCAAGCGAGGCAAGCACAACTCCTGGAAGGCCTGTTAGACCTGCCAGAGGCCGGTAATTTCAAGCCGCTGCATGCGTGCACTCTGACTCTTGAGGCCCCTGTCGGACCTTCCCGGCTGCCAAGGCCTTCGGAAGAGAAGGTCAGAAACAGACGCCATGTCAGGTGACACATCAACGCACACTCACCTTGTAGAGCTGCCACCGAGAGCAGCGGAAAGCGAACCATTTGAAGTAGCGCCTGCGGGATGACGAAGTGCTTTCTTTGCACTATCTGCGGATATCTGCGGTCGGAAGGCTGCTGTCGCATCATCGCGTCCAGGGCCACTCCGGTGCCAGTGCATCACAGCCGCCAACACCTTGGCTGACGGAGATTCGTCGTTCGCTTTCACCGCAAACAATTTTCGGCACCACTGAATTTGCCCGACTTATACTTTCCGTCTCGATGGTATGGAAGTTTTGAGAAAAATCACAGAGAGCGCGCCGTTGCTTCGATGTTATGTCTCAATTCGTGCGTGAAAATGGCACATGTAAACTTCACAGAAGCGGCATAGGCTGTGCTTGCTTGCGGCCAAAGGCATTCCGGAATCCGCTTGCAGTCATAAATTGGAAAGGATATTTGATGTCGAAATTCTTTATTTTCTGACGGAAGCATGTTGCTTCAGATCGTTGCATCGAGTTAGTACGAGTGGTCTTGCTTTTGAGGTCGTTTTGTTGACAATGGGCATGAACACAGATTTCAGATCGTTCGTGTGTCCATAAGTTTAAACCTGGTTTGCTAGCACCAGCCAAGATTAAGTCCTCGGTACATTCGCACCTGATGGCAATGACAATTCCTGTCGTGACGTGCTTACAACGGCAAGGTTTCCCCGAAATACTAAGCACAACTCCAAGACTACCCACCACTCCCGCCCCTGGCTATCACGCTTGCTGCTTGGTATTGCGAGGTTTTGCATCTCTTGACAAGCTCGGATCTTCTTCTGGAAACCACTGCTCAGATCGATGGAAGGGCTGCACTTCCTCTTCGTGCTCGGCCACCAGGTCGTCACTGCGCAGAATCCCAATCTCGGCGGTTAGGAAAAGCCCAAGGGCAAAAAAGGGCAGCTTTTCCGGCTCGAGGCAAGAACCATCCGGTGCAACGGCCAAGATCCGAACTGCTCAGTTCGCACCTGCCATGCGCTTCATGAAACTCTCGGCAAACATCACATGCGCTTGAACAGCAAAGGAAAGACAAGGCAAGCAGTTCATAACTCGCAAGCGTTGGCACGGAATCGCTCTGAGGTCTTGACACACGATCCAAAGTTCTCCAGGACATAGCCCTCCTCACGAGGCGGTCTGAGTGAATCCCTGACGGATAAGTGCCCGGGAGCCCATGGGTGCCCCACGAGCATCTCATCAAGCTTGTCCACGAGCAGGACCTCAACGCAGCTGCTCTGATCAAAAAGGCTGCCTCGGCGCAGCGACTTTGCCTCGCAGTCGACGATCAGCGACGAGCAGAGCTCCGGAGTCATGTGCCTCAAACGGGCTCAAAAATGCGGACAAAATGCTGACATCACAGAGCTTGGAGGAAGGCTTCACCAGCAGATCATTGAGTGCTGCCTGCAGCGGCTGCACCTCGCAAGAGTATGCGGGACAAGGAGAAAGAAAGCACGGCACTTCACGAGTTCCTGCCTCCCACTGGTGGACCAGCCGCAACAGCTCGGGTAGAATCGCCTACGTCGATCTGCTGAAACTCCCCAGTGCCTTGTTCCGAGTAGACATGCTGACCCCGCACCTTCTTGACGCAGAACGTGCCTGCAGCACAATTCGGGAGCCTATGTAGCTTCCTGCGACTTGTCGAGGAAGCAAGCAGCATGGAAATCTCCACGCGTTGGGCCTCTGTAGAGGAACTCTAGGAAGGCGTTCAGCGCCTCCACGTTGAGCGAAGGCAAATCGAGACCGAGTCTGGCCCCGAAACCAGGACGGCACAGTACGAGGACGCCTCACCGGAGTAGTCAAAGGGCACCTCCGACTGTTGCCTTGCACGTCCAACAAATGTGTCACTTTTGAGCCTCTGTGCTTCATGTGCAGCCGAGGACAGCTCCCTTCTGCGAAGCTGCCGCTGAGCATGGCAAAGAGGGGATCAGAAGCCATCGAGAGCACGAGGCGATGCGCCTGCTTTTGAGATGTGCCACTCTCCCTGCGTTCGCGGTCGCGACAGGACATCGGATCCACCCGGTGCCTTGAAGATGCGTCCATCGGTGCTTCGCAGCGAGACGTCGCAGAAGTGCTGAGAGCGAGTCTACATGTTCTCAAAGGCAGGAATCCGTTAAGTTGAAACAGGCATGTCTAGCAATGCTGTTCAGGTCTGAACGAACTCACATCAATATTTCAGGTTAACTTAAAGGCGGTCCACTGGTGGACCCTTCGTGAACAGCCCCCCTCCACGTGCTTTCTATTCTGCTTGTGCACTTGCCTCCGCGTAGTGAGGGAGTCGGTCCCACAATGCCAGCCTTGTAGCAATGGATTTCGAGACAGCTCTTATATCATGCTTCAGCATGTGGCACACTATGGTCGTGTCGCGAGAAGTTCCTGATTCGACTGAATGCAGACAGGCTCATCTCAGCCAGCGCACACACAAACACACACCTTCAGTGTCTAGGCTCACCACTTTGCCCCCTGTGCGGCCTGCCGAGTGCTCCACAGTGCTCCCGAGCCGGCCAGCACAAGGTCACTCTCTGGAACGTCAAGAAGCATGACCAAGTTCGCTTGACTCTAACTTATTGAAGCGTGCCTCTGCGGCCACTGAAACGTGATCGGCCTCCACAACGTCCTTCGAAAAAGAACAGCCAAGGAGCAAAGGTGCCGAGGAAGCAACATCTTGAATTGAAGGGACGCTTCGAGATCTATAAGAATCGGGGAATCTGATTCTCACGTTGGGATCATATTGTACTGTTGAACCTCGACAGCTGTGGTAACCTGGTATGCAGCACCTGACGTGAATCCAAACATAAGAACAAGCTGAAATCTATGAAAAGCCTACGTTTGATGGCACTTTCCTTCACGGCTCCGTCGTACAACGTGCCTCCACCTGCATGGTGACCTCTGAAGGGCTTCGCTGCCGGCTGTGCGACATCAGTGAAACGGCTTCCAAAGAGGCATCGGAATCGGCCTTGTCTGCTAACACGTGCTGTGTGTTGCTTCAGCAAAAAAGCAAACTGGTCTTTGCGTGCACAACGTCCATGGCACTTTCGAGAGGACTGGACATGGCATCAGTCAAGCAAAGTGTCGTGCCAGCCGCATGAAGCGTGTCTACGCACAAAAACACGAATCACCGGGACAGTCCGATGAACTCAACCTCTCTCAACTGCTGCGAACACCCCTTGAGGAAGTCGTGCGGACCAATGAACCGAATCTACACGCTTTTGCAACTCGAAGATGGCGACGATCGAGCTAGGTCACATCTCAGCCTGAGCCGAAGACGGTGATCAG